TGGCGCTGCGTCGGATTGTGGCTGCGAACTCAGGTGTACATACAGCCCAGCGCTGCCCCGCTCAACTGGCTTTGCTGCTCGCTTCTGCTGCAGTTGCTGCTGCTTGCTGCTGCAGTTGCTGCTACTTCCTGAACTGCTGCTGCTGCTGCTGCTGCGGTGTGTGTACGCAGCTGTCCCCATCTTGTTTGGATCTGCAAGAGACACTTGTGGGGTCGAGCTGCTGCTGGATGCTGCAGCTGCGCTACTGCCGTCTCCCCTGGAGCTGCCGCTGCCGCTGCAGCGCTGCAGCAGCAGCAAATCGTGCCTTGCTGCCTTCAGCCAGGCCAAGCAGCAGCAGCAGCAGCAGCGACAGCAGCGGCGACGCAGCCACGGGTCAGGGCTGTCAGGGCTGACAATGCTTTCCCTGCAGCAGCAGCAGCAGCAGCAGCAAGCAAGTCAAAAGGGAAGCCTGTTTGCTCCTAGCAGCGCATCTGTTGCTGCTGCTGCTGCAGCAAACGCAGCAGCTGCTGCTGCTTCCGCACTTCTACGTGGCCCTCTCACATCCCGTGCAGGCCCAGCAGCAGCAGCAGCAGCAGCAGTGCCTGCTGCTGCTGCTGCTTTGCCAAATGCACCCGCTGCCGCTGCTGCTTTCAAAGTTCTCCCCGACGGCAGTGACAGGCGGTTGGCATACTGCCGCATCTTTTCAGGCAAACCCTAAACCCTAAACCCTAAACCCTAGACCCTAAGGCTCCCTGCGTACTGCCGCATATTTTCAGGCAAACGCTAAACCCCAAACCCTAAACCCTAGTGCTCCCCGCGGCCGCGCTCTAGTTTGCGCATGTGCGTCCTTCATTGCTCACCATTGCTGCTGCTGCTGCTGCTGCTGCTGCAGGACGGCTGGAAGCTCCTTGCGTTCTCTTCAATTCTTCGCAGCAGCAAGTTGAACTGGTGCAGCAGCTGCTGCTGCCTGCTGCCTCTTCCTATCTCCCAGCAGCAGCTGCTGCTGCTGGAGACGTTGTGGTGCTGCGGGGGCTGCAGCACACAAGGGCAGGGGACACTCTGCATGCTATTCCTGCTGCTGCTGCTGCTGAGCAGCAGCAGAAGCAGCAGCAACTGCAGAAGCCCTTCGTCTTTCAGCTTCTTTCTGGGCAAGTGAGCTGGGGGCTGAACACAGCAGCAGCAGCAGCCGCTGCCGCACCTGCTAGCAGCAGCAGCAGCAGCAGCGAGGGTGGCGGGCGTGCAGCTGTCACTGAGGCTTCTTTGCTGGCGCGGCTGGAGCAGCAGCAGCGCGAACAGCAGCAGCAGATGGTGCCGGTTTGCTTCTGCAGCATCGACTGCAGCAGCAACAGTGAGGAGCAGCAGCTGCAGCAGGCGCTGCAGCTGCTGCAGCTGCAAGATCCTTCTTTGCTGCTGACTAAGGCAGAGGGCGAAGCCTTTGTCCTGTGGGGCCGCGGCCAGCTGCAGCTCGAGCTTGTGAGAGACAGGCTGCAAAAGGAATTCGGTAACTTGCTGCTGCTACTGCTGCTGCTGCTGCTGCTGCAGCTGTTTGTGTTGCATGTGCTGCTGCTGCTGCTGCTTCTCGCGCCGGTGCTGCTTTTAGAACTAGTGTTTTACGGGCTGCTCCTGTTGCTGAGGTTTAATTTGCTGCTGCTGCTGTGCCCACGGTGTGCCTGCTGCTGCAGCGCCCTCGCTCCGGCTTGCTGCTGCCGCTTATCTTGCTGCAGCTGCTGCTGCTAAGTCTGTTGCTGCTGCTGCTGCAAATCTGCTGCTGCAGGACTAAAGACACACCTGGCCCCTGTGGAAATTGCATACAAAGAGCGGTTGCTGCAGCCCCTCAGCGGCAGCAAAACCTGGCCTCCCCGCAGCAAGAGCAGCAGCAGCAGCAGCAGGAAGAGAAGCAGCAGCAGCAGCAGCAGCAGCAGCGCCCGCCTCAGCCTGGAGCTACTGCCGCTGCCTTTGGTCTCCCCCGAGCTGCGTCTCTCAGCGCTGCTGAAGGGCGACCCGGACCCCTCAGCTGCTGCTGTTGCTGCAGCAGTGGCTCCAGCAGCAGCAGCAGCTGCTGCTGCT